GGGAACAACTAATTGATAACATGGCAATGTAAATATCGTCAAATTAGTAAAAAATAAAATAGGAAACAATTGAGAATAAATAACTTATTATTGTAGTAAGATATGACGCTAGAATAAATGTTTGTGCAGTTATAGTTTGCAGTGATGCTATGAAAGTCTCAATTGAGTGAAAAGGATAGTGAAATATCAACATATATGAGTCATATATGAATAGTGAAGATAAATCGAGTCTGAGAAGTTAATTTAAATGTAACACAAGTTATTGTCTTAATTAAAAACTTCGTAATCTGAGGAATAATATCTATTTAGCAGGAAAAGAAACGGACTCATAGTGAAATGGTTCAACCACGATAATTATAATAATTGTGTAATGAATATTGATCTCTAAAGTAAACCAACAATTCAGAAAAACAAAATAAATCCTTTAGTTCACTCTGATAAATACATGTAGATTTAGGTATACTGAGTGAAACCGGATATAAGCATAAAAAGTTGTGCAATAATAATTAAGAGTTTTCTAGCTTCGCATATTTGAAATGAAACGCGCTCAGAAAAGTTCAGATTTTTGCTATATCTTAAACTCAAGTCACGAATAGTGTTAAGAGGTTTCGGTGTATGTTTGTGTATAGCCAGATTTAGGTTAAGGCAGCGGTCAACGTGAATAAATCCACCTTTGTCAACATTAAGTGGCGAATTCCACGAAACAGTCCATTCGTATAACTTGTTTATTTCTTTTTGGATTACCGCTTAAATATAGCTTTCTTTGATCAGTCAGTCGATCAGCTACAACGTAGGACCGGGCACATATATGCATCGGTCCAAGTTGCCATACCTCATTAACACAACAGGATGAACACCGGATTCATAAAAGTAGGTAATTCAATGGTGGTAATATATAAAAGAAAGATTGCAATAAGGATATAGTACAGGAAGAAAGAATTCGTTCGAAGAAAGAAAGATATGAAGCGATTTTAATCTCTTAGTTTAAGGGAAGACAGAGAGTGTATACACCTATGCCATTGTGATCGATTCTGAGCCATGTCACCAAGAGTCTCTAACTATCGGTTACGATAGTCATGCGGATCCCAACCAAGTAGTCCTTGGTGAGTGAAGAGAATGAATAGTCTACTTTTATGTCATCGGCAAAAGGAAAGGTTTACATACTGAAAGAAGGAACACACGTCATTGATAAAAAGGAGAAAGAGTAATGGATCGATCATACTTCCCTGTATAACCTCACTGGTTACATTCACAGGGTTACAGCAGCAAGATCCACAGCGAACGATTTGGCTACGTTCTTCTAAAAAAGATTTGAGCCAAGATAAAAGGGGATTCTGTATGCCAAATGAAGAGAGTTTTAAAAGAAGTTTTTGTGAGACACTGTCGAAAGCCTTACTAAAATCGAAGTATAGAATTGTCACTGACTGACCGACATCTCTTTTCTGAGTAATTTGATCAAAAAACTCCAGGTGCGATGTAAAACATGAGCGTTTAGTCATAAACCCGTATTGGGATGGGCTGATCAGACTAGCCGAAAGTAAAAATGATAATAGCTGTTTGTGGGTGATTTTTTCCATGGTCCTTGAGAGCACGGATGTTAAATTATTTGACCAATAGTTAACAATATCACTACGTGAAACTGATTTGAATCTAGGGATGATAAGAGATGTTTTCCATACAGATGGATAGATCCCATTTTCCATAGATAGATAGAGAAGTTTCAAACAAAATAGTGGGAATTATCTACTACCATATTTCACAAATGATCAAGGGATCCCGTCAGGTCCACCATCATAAGACTTTTTCAGGGCAGCTATGGCCTGCTTGGTGTTGGAGGGTGTAAAATCAAGTTTCGATAGGTGTCTGGATGTCAGCATTGGAAATGTATTGATAGAGTTTCCAGTTCCAGCTTTGTAGCTTTGCGAGAAGTGCTTGCTGAATTTTTCTCAAATAATATCAGGGTCGTCAACAATGCTTCCGTTAACTATGAAGAATTTGGTCGTGCCAAGAGAATTTGCCTTCAAATGGGATTTAAAAAGCCGAAGTATTGATAGTTCTAGGCTTTCAATACCATGGGCTTTGTTTTCCATATTCCTAAAATACTTACGTTTAGATGAAGGATTTCTGTTGATTAAGTTAAGTGTACTCTGAAGTGCATACACGTCAGTATGCCCGTAGTAGCGGCGTTTTAACTTCCTAAGCTTTGTTTTAAAAGTTTTAAAAGTATTCTGGCCCCTATTAGCATTATAAGCCACATGACGAATAACTGGAGCAGTGCAGTCAAGGCATTAAATCGGGTGGTGGTATTGATTGGCAAGCGAGATGTCAACATTATTTGTAGTAAAATAAGTATCCCATGGTGAAAATTGAATAAGAATTTCAGTCCGTTTCCAGGTTTGCTGATCAAAATGTCTGCTCTGGTACATCATTTGACCTTTAGAGTTCAGTTTCTATGGCGTTTAAAGAATGAATAATACTCAACACAACTCTGTGGTCACTCATAAAAAAATCATGATTGGTATGCACTGAGATTGAGTCTGTGTTAATAGTAGGCAATAAATCGAGTATATTAGTCCCCCTAGTTGACTTCCGAACTTGTTGAACCCATACACAAATTTCTAGTGTTTCAACTAGCTTGTTATATCGACCTAGTACCGGAGTCAAACCACATGTAATTTTTGGCAGATTAAAATCACCTCCGATGATTTTAAAAATTTGCGGTCGGTGAGAAGCAATGGAAAAGATGTTTGTTAGTGATCTGTCAAACTTAGTATCCTCATGAGGTGGTCTGTATATGCATCCCACCAGCAGATAATTTTGAGATCCCCAGTTTACAGTAATTCAAATTCAGTCGTCTATAACATCAAGAGCTATATCCCCAACTTTGCACGCCTGAATGTCTGAACGAACACAGACAGTTGTACCGTCTCCTAACCCATAACATCTATCGGTTCCAAAGAAAACGTAGTTATCTACATTCTTACGACAGGACGAGTCCATGTTGACAATGATAGGACTTCCATATAAAATTGTATAGATTAGGTAGTCTCATATGATAAATTCACAGTTTTGGGATTAGGTCTATTATATATTAGTACTAGTATCTGATATAGACCATGATCTTATAATGTTATTTCCCTACCAGAAACATGGTTAACTGATTTTTTAGCTAGTATGGCTGATAGACTAAATCGTAGGGGAAGTGGGTTTATCCTGTACTCATATGCACCTTAACCACACGAGCTGTTGTGACAGTGGCACATGATTTATGGACGTGTGAACTGGTGAGTTGCAGGTTGAAATGTAGACGCAATATATTGTATTATTTGTAGTATACCGCAGTCCAGAATGTATAGTAGATGACCCCCTCCTAAGAAAACTTACGTCCTGGTGGAGTAGGGGTGCAAGCCTTATAATAGGCGAATTTAATGGACCGTATATAAACTAGGTGAACTTAGAAGTGGGGTCATCGACAACGTCACTTCATTGCAAATTGTTAGGAACCACAATCGCCCTAGCTTTATTACAGCACACTGGAGGTCACACAAAATATGAAATACAAAGACCCTTGTCTCTCTTGGACTTAGTCTTCATACAAGTTGATGATCCCGGTCAAATGACTTTACCCCCACCTCTAGAGAGAAGGGATCACGCAGTCATCCTATTCAAGCTCATGGCAGAGATGGCCTGTCAAACAGTTGCATCCCATCCTAATATATAGATGGCAGACATCGAGGTGGTAAACTATGCAGCACCGACTGAAGACTAGATAATTGTCTCAGATGCATCAGTAGAAGAGGCATGGACTCATTTCGGGCAGTTACACAGTCAAGTAACTCAACCATATATACCCTGGACAGTCCCGAACAATAAGAAGCACGGCCATACCTGGATAGGCTGTGATATACGGCGTTTACCAAGACAAAAGAAGAAACGTCGGAACATCACCATCAGCCTTGACACAGCAAGTGCAATGGAACACCATACCTCGGTTGGAAATTAGCGTATAATTACAATCTACGAAGCTAAGTGAACACATGAAATGCAGTTGGCCTCATTTGTATTCATGCAACCTAAGAGAGTATTTCCGTACATAAATTGCAGAATAATGACCGAGCACTAGATTCTCAATTTAATTACGAAAGGGAAAGTATCTAAAATGATAGAATATGATCAGGTAAAAGTAGAGGCTATGGCAGACTATTACAGGGGAGTTTTCACTAAGCAGCCTCTTCTAGACGGAGAATTAGACCCAAATATAAAGCCGAAACATCGTCTACTCACAATGAATTTAGATTGAGACAATGTACTTAAAACCCTTGAAACTTTAGCCTTCAAACCAGACTCTAAAACTGCGTTCAGGCTAAAATTCCTGTTTAAAACGTTGCTCGAACATGTTGAAGAAATAACGGAAGGCAGCCTCTTGATCAGTTCCAGAACTCTAGGATTTACCATACTAAGAAAAGCTTGACAAGGTGGACCAATATATTTTTTCCTGCCGCAAATGAAGATATGATCAGATTTTGATTTACAAAATGCTAATAGGTGATTTCGGATTCGACACATACTCCCTTTCTACCAGATCAGGATAACTTAGAGTACGTACCGGATGGAGCACAAAAACCAAGTACGAACAAATACCTGTGGCATACAGGTTTTAATATCGAGTTATCAGTCACTGGAACCTGTAATCCGAAGAGGTAGTGTTCATATTCTTTAATTGTCTCTTTCAGGTGAAGACTAGACACTCTCAGAAGCTTAATAGAGAAGGAGTAACTCAAGACGTAGGCCTTCTGTCTTCAATACAAAAATCTGAAATCTGAAAATCAGGAAATGAGTGTGAAGAAAAAAATAGTTTTCATCAGCTCATGTAACCACAATGAAACAATAAGAAGTAGGCACAAAGGACTCAGTCGGTTTATGCAAGCTCGTGATAAAGATATTGGATATCAGATTAAAGCACCCTACAATGAGATTGGATATTGTATTTTGAGACTAACCTTGGCACGAGGTTTGTAAAGTTTCATACAGACGGACGCGATAGGTAAGTAGTAAACTCCTATTCCGAGAAGTCCCTTTTGTCGAGTTTTACAAACAGTATCTGGATTATACACTTTAAAAAACACAAGTGGCCTTTAAACAGCAATCCTGCTTTAATTTTCAGTCTAATTTTGTACGAGGTTGTTGTTAACAACACATCTTGGAACTAAAAGCTGCATATAAATCGTCGAAGGTCAAATGAAAACCCTGGAGAATGATTAAGATTTGACACTTTAAATATGAATTCAGAGGAAATAAGTTCGATCAAAGCAGTTGATAACGGCGTCATCCCGGGTTTCGAAACATTTAACCATTCTTTTTCATCACTTTTACCAACTCGCTGTTACTGGATAAACGATGACCACGAACATATTCTGGAGGGTTGTCTGTTATCCCACATTCTTTGCGTTGCGGCCGAAAGTATACCACAGCCCTCACTGTGGCTGTTTAGAATTAGCGATGGATCGAAAAACCTAACCAATTGCAAGAAAACCACACCGTATTCACTTAATTCATGCAATCAGTTCAAGCACTATAGAACATTACTATAGTCTAAGTAGTAATGGTACCAGTAGTGGTAGTAAAGATTGTATTTAGTAATGTGAAAAGTATGAAAGTTTCGTTATTCTGGATCTATGGGGGGTTATAGAGTGTATACGCATGCTTCATTGCAAGCATTTTTGAACTATGTCGCTAAAATTCTTTAACAGTTAGGATAATTACACGGGCAATAGCCAGATGGTCTAAACTTATTAATATTTCCCAGTTAATGACCTCGTGGATTTGTGCTGTATCTCAATTTAGCTGCCCGTAGCTCTCTTCCAGCCTACTCACACCAAATAACATCCCTCGCCAAGGTTGGTGGTAATTAGGCATACACAAAGCATGTCTCAAACACAGTTGGTAAAGACTCAATACCCCATCAACCGACTTGCCATCTTTACTCAGTATCCTGTGCCTAACCTCAGCATTTGTCATTCAGTGGTCTCAGCAATGCCGTAAAGACACCTATGGTCAAACAGTGGTAACTCACCAATATCTGTTTTTAATAGACATGTTTCACGCACTTGAAATAAAAAAGGAAACTTATCTGCAGTAAACCCATTTTCTGGTTCCCTACGCTAAAAGTGAACAAAGTTGCCAAAAGGCAGCCGAACTTTCTGAATTCGTGCCGAAATTAGAGTGGCATGCGTGAAGAAAAAGGCCATTAAATAGAAGCCATGAAAAGGTTTGTTTCTAAAAAGACAATCGGCACAAGTGTCATTCAGTCAAAAATGCTTTTTTTTTTACAAGAATACAATAGGGAATTACGTTATGATCACCCTTCTTCCTTTCTGAGCCTGATTAGTAATGTACCACTCCGAAGAAATGTACGGTCATCAATTACTATGCAGTGATGAATGCTAACCTAAAAACCAGCTTTCATTTTGTAATATGTCCCACTGATCACTAAACCCATGCAGTTGTTCCTGGACACAAATGGCATACCCCCTCTCCATTGCTACATTGTAAATCTCTTATTTTCTGGTCAGAAGCGACAGAGGATAATCTGGTGTGACATTCAGAGATTAGTCCATTGTTCTCAGTATAACAGAAACTGGCATATTGAACACATATAGTGGTAAATTTTTACATATTAGATTGACTTAGCGTGTTGTTAGATATGACAATCACAATGTTGCAGAAGTACTCAACAGTCTGTTTCCCACAAATTAAATTAGTCGTTAAAGTTTAGACTAACGTGACTAATCGGTGTAGGGTAAACTTCGATATCGTTGACAGGTTGCTACGTCAACTTTTTTAGGTAATATTTAACGAAGGAACGTATTTACTATATATATGTATGTATGCTGGCTATATATAATTTACTTCTTCGAATTTCTTAAGTCTTTCTTTTTTGTTATCTCGATCGTGCTTTCAGTCTCTCTTGAGCGACTAAACGTTATCTAATAATTTCAAGAAGTCACTATTAAATATCTGAATATAGAGCCCTAGAAAATATCCGTGTGCGACCATATGGACCTTTTCGAGGAGAAAGTTCGTCTACATGAATCTACAACGGAAGTTGGTGGGCTCATAATAACTAAGTCAAAAGAAAATTTCAAACAACCTCAAAAGTCCTTATTTGGACTTGATAAGTTGGCGGCAAAAAAGCGACAGGAATCTGAGGATCTTAATCTACAGTTTAACAAGCGCGATGTTACAAATAAAGAAAGGTAATGGAGTTTTTGCATAAGATTTACTTTTGTATCAGGTTCTATAGGGAAAGGCGCGTTGAAACCCCTTCCAATCGTGGGGGTGTTAGCAAAGAATATTTCGATTCTCAGGCAAGAAGGCGTGAGCGTGACCAGAAAGAACGCTTAAAAACCGGTCTTGTATCAACATCCAGAAAAATTGGTGAGAACTACTCAGACTCTCGAAAATCATCAGGTAAACTTTAATGTGTAAATACGCAAGGTTACTATGTGTTTTGATGCTACTACGACTTCTTAAAACTCCTCTTGTGGCTACGTAACCTTAAAACACGCTCGAAGATATTTCATCCCGTCTGAATCCAAATTAACAGTAATTCTTTTGTGTACAATTATATCTAAATGAATCGTTTTACAGTTAGATTTATAACATAACTCCTAGATTTCAATGCTTTTAGTCGACGGCTTTACTTCAAATAAATTCTCACTCACAAGTTATTCTATGTTGAGAAGTGAAGTATACGTACACTTATCATTTTATTGTTAAAATGCAAATCTAAACATTCCTATCCTAACCAACGTCACAACCTCGTCCATTCTGAACTATTTCTTGCAATATTTGTGGCATGCATTTAAGCGTTATTACGCTTATAATTTGTTTGCCAACCACAGTCCCAGAATACTCAAATTTATCTAAATTATAATTTACACTATTAACCTTTCCTGATAGCATTTCCAGTAATTTCAGTGTAAACTATTCTCAGTGAATCAGGTACATATTTTCAAACCTTTTAGTTATTTGTTCTTGGTTCAATTATATTCAGTTAAAACAGTTGTGGTATTACAGATTGTTGATTACGTTTCATATTTCTTGCCGAAGCTGTTTTACTGTACGAATAAACTTTAGAGAAACTATCTCTTAAATAATCTTTTTTTTTAATTTCTTGGCAGACTATTCTCGCACTGAATTAGTCAGAGAAAAAGAATCTCTCAGCACTCGACATCGGAGAGAAGCAGAATGGGAAGATGAAACACCTAATCATAGCAGTCGGGAAAATAGAAGTACTACTGGGACAAGTATTAACCGATTTGAAACTCCTGAAATATATAATGTTGGGGGACGGTCTCCAGGACATTCTAGCTGGGATGATTCTGGTTTAGGATCTAGTCGATCTACTACCCCTCGCACTACCGGATCACTAGCTCGTAATTCCAATAATGATCGATATACCTATACTCCTATGCCTACTCCAAGTTTTAAGCATAATTCATGGATGCAATCAAATAAAAATAACACAGGGAGTTCGGACTCCAGAAAACAGCATTCGGGTCGTCATACTCATGGCCAGTCTTATGCACAAGTTTCCAGTGAAAACGAAGGCGATAGTGTGAAACCTGATTCTAATGAGATAGAGGAAGATGGTGATGATATTAAGGCTGAAAATGAACGCTTAGATCGTAATTGGTATCAAATGGATGATGGCTATGATAATGATAACCATCCGTTTTCTGGTAAGTGGTTTGGCCATAGCACTTTTACCAATGAATCCTACTATTCGCCATCATTTGACAAAATAATTTTTTTTATCTAAACACTAATGGTATCTCGCTCATTTAAATATTCAAATAACAATGAAATTCTAATGTGAAATTTTTTAAACCTGTCCACTTTGTGTAACAGCGAAAGTGTAATTTTTTCCTTCAAGTTCAGCCGAATTTGGTTTTCCAAATGATATAGTGTCAATGATAAGTCAGGTTCTTGAAATAACTTATAATTTCTAATACATATGACCTAAGTTCTTCATCAGACGATCTTGGTGTCATAAATATTCACTTTCTACTTTTAGTATATGTACTAGATTTCCTACTCCATGGTTGTATTTCATTTATTAAATCCCAAGTATTTAGGATAGTTGAAAATGTAAGCCCGCCACTAAGTTGCAGTGTTTGTGTCACAATAAATATTTAGTCAATTTGTCAGTCATTGTCAGAACAGTAATTTGGAATGTCTAAACTTCACCGCATTACTTTATTAACAAAAAAGGTGTGTAGACCTTTATCCTTTAAGTTATACTGGTTATTTGTCGGTAGTAAATGAGTTTAGAGATTATAATTTAAAAAAATACTAGAAGCAACCCTGATGTTGTCTAGTTTTAGTTTAAACACATCAGCTGCTCATATTTTTGACCTCTTTTTAGGCTGATCCTAGTACCTTGAAGTAAGTACGATTGACCATCAAGGTATTGTGCTGCTTCGGTTTGGGCACCCGGGCATCATCACAGCCCTCACACATATCGAATGGGATTTGTGTGGCGCATATGTATTTGGTGCCTCCTTGTACCAATGTCTATGTGTTAAAATAAAAAAATAAAAATTGTGCTGCAAGAGTTACAAATTGCGGTAAATAATTTATCAGTTTCACTTAGTTGTTGTAAGTCTACTATAAAAATGATAATCAAAACCCAGTTGTCTTTCCTGCTTACTGAGTTGGTCAGTTCAGTTGTGAACACAAGTTCTTATTTCAGTCTTACTGTTCTTTAACCGATCCTTCTGGCATAACAGAACCTAGAGAAATGATCGTCCTAGCCAATGTGCTTCGATTAGATCATCACGATGAGCAAACGCAGCCACCACGTCAAGGTAGCAGCTACAGTTAATAGCTAAACAACTATTAAAACGGGAGTAGTATACAATGAACGACCGAACCCTATTCATAAATATCACCTATGAAAGTTACTTTGACAAATCGAACCAACTAAACACATAAATTCACTAATTTTGATATCTGTTGATGCACCTTATTAGTGAGATTTTCTATCTCCACGTCACTCATTCATGTTGTCTCAAGCAATAGACAGTATTCTATATATTGTAACTGTTTTAAAAAAACTATCCCTAGACATTCCTGAAGAGTATGCTGCTAAAAAGGAACGTCAATTAGCAGAACGTAAAAAACGACATAAACAACGCTTAACTGCAAAAGCTGTCCAAGTTCATAAAGATAATCAAGCATGGGAACATAATCGTATGTTAAGATCTGGAGTTGTTCAACGAGTAGATTTTGAACAAGATGAAGATTTCGATGAAGAAGGTGAAGCTAGAGTTCACTTATTAGTTCGTAATATACTTCCACCATTTTTGGATGGACGAATTGTTTTCACTCGTCAACCTGAACCTATTATTCCTGTCAAGGTGAAGTAATAATATTTTTAAAATATATTATTGTTTTTTACTCATATTTTTATCTGCCCAAAGATTAATAACTCAATGTACTATTAATAAGTTAGGTGGTCTTATAGAGATTTGTATTACTCAAATGTAGTTTTCAACTGAAGATCCATTTTAAGTTCGAGAGATTTGGATAACCGTCCCATACTTGCTTAAGACTCCTCACCAGTAAATACCTGTTGGGTCAAACTAAGGACCTTGAGATCTTGTGAACAAAATACCTTTAAGTCATCTAGTTTGATTTGTAAACAATCCACCACATCACAAGTTGATCAAAATAAAAACTTTTAGCCATTGGTTTTCGACTTTATGATTCAAAGATGTCGTACTCATTTTGAGACTTAAAAACCTAGTCTCACTCACGTAAGCTTGTTAATTCTTCAGTCCCCCTTCAATTCAATGGTTTTCTTAACTGACATCAGTTTACAAAAAACAGTTTACTCTTAAATGACACCTGACTTAATATCCCAGCTACATAATCAAGGTTTCTGCACAACATTATTTCTTCAACAGAAGATGACAATATTTTGATCTCGTTCGTTACTATGTAAATTTCTTTTAGCATAAGTTCTCTTAACAGCACTAATCATCAAATAAATAAAAATATCATAATTATATCTATTTGTAAACTACATTTTGTTTATCACATTCTCTTTTGCATTTTGGCTTTTAAAATTGATTAATACAACTTACATTGCTTTCTTGTTGACTATTTGCAGAGGCATATAGTCATCTCTGTATATTCTTAATGATTTGAATATTCTACAAGTCGCCGGCGATATTTAATATTGAAAGATTTTTCACCTTTTATTATTCCCTTCTTGTCATTGATATGGTCGATTTAAATCATCTTGTCATACGAACTTAGCTGTGGACAGAAACACAGTTTCGTTAATATGGTATACATTGTATACATTCACCAAGATTCTATCATCAATATATTTTTAGAATCTGAACTAGGGAATACCAAGATACAGTTATGCCTTTAAAGTAACTGGTAGATATATTTTACTAAGTCTGAACTGTTTTGAATTCCTTTTCGTCTGTTGGAAATTAGGTCATAGAATGAATATTTATGTGTATTCTTTTGGACCTCTATGGGAGTCACAGTTTATTGTGATGTAATAACATAATTTATTTTTACGACGAGAATATGTCAAATCATCTTGCCATATGCTATTGAATTCTACAAATCGTCAGCAATCTCAGTTCTATTATTTTTTGACCTGAGGGGGCAGTACGTTAGAAAACGACAGAACTATCTTGGAACTGTTTTAAAAAATAATTATTATTATGTGTAACAGTTTTTATAATATTGTGAGATTCCATTGATGGTTGATCGAATTCTATACTATAATTACAGGTATATTGTTTGAAGACATGTTAAATAATTTTTGTGTTTTTAATTGTAGGACCCAGAGAGTATAATGGCCAAAGTTGCGCAGAAAGGCAGTGCCATTGTGAAATACTTTCGAGAACAAAAAGAACGTAAAAGAGCACAAAAGAAAGAATGGCAATTGGCTGGTACACGTATAGGGGAAGTTATGGGTATAAAACCTCCGGAAGAACAGGATAATTGGACAGAGAAATCACATCGTGATGCACAGACATTTGCCGATAAAGTAGGAGATATGAAATCTGAAGCAGTTAGCGAGTTCGCTACACGAAAAACCATTGTGGAACAACGACAATACTTACCAGTATTTTCCGTAAGGACATCCTTACTGAGAATGATTAAGGAACATCAAGTAGGTTCTTATCATTAGTTACCTATTTTCGACAGTAGACTGATTGTAATTCACTTCATTTTAATTGTTAGCTACATTCTGTTGTTAGATATCGTCATCATTATCTTTTATCGATGATGTTATTTGCTAATGTTGTACAGTTCTGTTCATACTTATTTTTGATATATAGTAGTTATTATTAAAATAGGGGGTGTCGCATTATTAAAGAAGCTATAGAACATTTCTAGTGTATCAAATACAGTTTGTGTAGCAGTCTCAAAAACTATGTGAAGCAGTAAATTGACAATATTTCATTGAAGTGTAAAAGATAGATGTCAACTTAATAAATGGAAAGCGAATAAGCAAACAATTGGAAATCACAACATGTATGATTAGAAGGGCTTATAAGAACATGATAAAGTAAGGTAATAGACATGTGTCTTTTGAACGCAGAACTCGGGGTTGGATTGTACTCTTCATTGCTCTAACCTTGAAGGTGGCCTGGGAGCTAAAATATTCGTTTTTTAACCGCCGGACCTCAGGTTAGAACTACATTTTTGTTATGTTCACCTACTGTCTAGTATTTCCTGACCACTTTGCTTCACTTGACTCTTCCCAAATCAGAATGAGAATTAAGAGCGAACAATGTGTATTTCGACAACATGAACAGCAAAGATGTAGTGGTAAAAAGAAATCTATAGTTTAGATAGGATTTACATACGAACCTTCTCTATTCTTCCACTAGCGCTGATTGGTTGAAAATGCTGAGGTCTTGGTGTAGAATGATTAATTGTAAAAGTATGAAAAGTATGTATAAAAATTCACCCATCTCTACACATGCAGGTACATCCAGCCGACGAGTCTCAAATAGAACGAAACGCGCATCCTGGTTTCCACAGCTAGCCACTATCCATCTTTGCTTATAATACTTGTGAATTAAAGCTATATCAAGGCAATACGCACAGTATGCACATATGCTAATAAAAGAGTGATCAATTGCAGTCCTAAATATCAATGGGAAGATTCAAATAAATAATACCAAATGGACGTATTTTCACTTAGTTGTACAATATGTGGAGTAACATATAGGGAGTAATATATCGGGTAACAACCCTATAGATTAATTCAATTAGGGTTATTGATAATAGCGTATTTGTAAGTCGATCAAACACCAAACAGATACGATTAGCACAACCCAGTACCTGGAAGACTTTATTACTACATAAGCAAACAAATAGTTAGCCATCAACAACTTGGAGCGTGGCATAAAAGTGCGTTGACTCAGGTTGCCATACCACATCATCACAATTAAACGAAATTAGTAAAATGAATTACGAAAGAGATTAGAATAATGTAACAGCAGTGGCAATGTGAACTGCTAAATATTTTGATTGTATTTCAAAAAGACAAAAAGGAAAGGTGTATATGAAGGAATACTGGAACTCAAGGTTTAGATGAATATGGTGAATACATATATGTCGTTGTGACCAGTCCTGATTTATTTCATTCAAAGTATCTAATCACTAAATTCACTTGGTATTGTTTTGTTTGTATCTTCCTATTGAGGTTTATGACTGCAATTGATCAGTCTATTATTGGCATATGTGCATACTGTGCGTATGCCTCGATATTGCCTTAATTCACAAGTTTTTATAAACAAAGATGGGTAGTGGCTAGCAGTGGAATCCAGGACGCGCGTTTCATTCTATTTGAGACTCTTCAGCTGGATGTACCTGCATCTCAGAATTAATGTTCACTCTGGGACTCGAACTCAGTACTATTCGCTCCAAACGCCATCGCGTTATCCATTCTGGATTCCACTGCTAGCCACTATCCATCTTTGCTTATCTGACCACTAGTTTAAATAATCACGCGAACCCCAGCAAAGTCGTCTATTTCAAATGACACCTCGATACAACAGTCAATAACTTCATAGATTGCTTTGTCTCAGGCAACCCTAGCTTTTTATCAACTTACTCCTATGCCAGTAATCACCGCTCAATAGAGGTAGCAAACAAATAGAAATGATCAAAGTCGTGTAAACAGTTTTCGACGTCTTGTGGTCCTCTTGAAATTAATATTATGAGACAGTAACCGTATTCGGTTTATACATTTTTATTCTCATAGTTAAAATAATTAAATATATCAACTTGCGAAGCCTATTGATGTAGTTTTTTCAATCTCTGATATATACTTCAATGTACGTAGTAGACAATCCCGTGTGGAAATTCTTTTTCATTTAAACTAGATTGTAGTGATTGTTGGCGAAACTGGAAGTGGTAAAACTACTCAATTAACTCAATATTTACATGAAGATGGTTTTACAACTTATGGCATGGTTGGTTGTACTCAACCACGTCGTGTTGCTGCTATGTCTGTTGCTCGACGAGTTGCTGAAGAAATGAATGTACGTTTAGGTGAAGAAGTTGGTTATGCTATAAGATTCGAAGATTGTACTTCTTCTTCCACTTTAATTAAATATATGACTGATGGAATTCTATTACGTGAGTCACTACGTGAATCTGATCTTGATCCATACTCTGCAATTATCATGGATGAAGCGCATGAAAGGTCTTTAAATACTGATGTATTATTTGGATTGTTACGTGAAGTAAGTTTCCTCCTTTTTAAAAGGTTCAACATAATAAATATTATAGTTTGAATATCGTTATTAGTAAGGGTTTGAATTATCCTGTTGTTGATATTCAAGACTGAATAGTCAGTTGCTGTATGAACTCAGTAGCTTAGTATGTAATGTCTTTGGGTGTGAAGCAGAGGGTATTGAATTCGACTGTCAATGAAAACTTCAATCTTAAGGTACAGGTACATCCGGTCGAGGCGAAATGTGCCTCCCAGAATCGATCACAATGGCGTCGGTGTATACACTCTTTGTCTTCCCTTAAACCGTGAGATTAAAATTGCTACATATCTTTCTTTCTACTAACTAATTTTTTCTTCCTGTACTATATCCTCATTCATAATCTTTCTTTTATATATTAGTACCATTGAATTAGCTACGTATATGAATTTTGTGTACATCTTGTTGTGCTAATGAGGTGTGATAACTTGGACCGATGAATATATGTGCCTGGTCCTACGTTGTAGCTGACTGTCTGACTCCTCAGCAGTGCACATCCACGATCTCGCACAGGAACTCGAACCCAGGACCTTTGGTTTCGCGCGTGAACGTTTGACCTCTAGACCACTGAGCCGCCGTCCAGCGGTGTCAGTGTCTAACTCCAATCGATCCATGATCTTTTGCAACCCTTCATCCATTGTCTGAGGTGGAAAACTATCTCATACCCGACATGGTTTGGAATCCCCCCAGTGAGTACAGAATTATATTTTCGACGTTGCATGATTTAAGGTAAGCCACTTCTTCAGAGTAAATGAATGACCGGATTTATTCAGTTCTTGAAGAAAAGATGGTAATTTTTATTGTACATCGGTCATTCATTATCACCTTAGCAACTTACTATATTGACAGTCTATGAAGTTGATTACATTTGTTATATAGCATTTGATAAATAGGGTTTCTTAAAAATACTTTTTTATAGGTCTAAAAGGCTCTCTATTATTTGTAAAGGCTTGTATTCTATCGTTGTTTACGTACAAAACCTCATTCAATCAGTCATGTTTGGCATTCGGGGATCTTGAGCGGATATCTCGATATTGTGTGTAGCTACAAGCTGACTAATAAATATTTTGAACAGTGGTTAGCATAAGATAAAACGCGGGTGTTTGAAGCTATCTGTACCAGGTGAAAGTCCAAGTGTAAATATCATTACTGAGGTCCAAATGCATCCAAATGATAACCAGTTGTAACTAACGTATCGTCCGCCGAAAGTGTGGTTGGTACAAACTGCCAGTCCACATCAATGGGAAGAATCAAATGTAAAAAGATGAAGACCTGAGGAATCAGAATAATGTAGCAGCAATGAAAAGGGATAAACATTGAAAATGTGGTTCGGAAATAAAAAATGAAAGAGTGTCTATGAAGGAATACTGGAACTCAAGATCTGGATGAAGATGGTGAATGGATACACGTCATTGTGATCTATTCAAAGTTTCAAACTCTTTATCGGAGTTATTACTCTGACCCTGACCAGGTGGTCTTAATCTCCCTAAACGGCCTACTTGTATAATCAATGACGTCATGGACTGATGCCACATTTAGGTTTGGGCGTCTAAGCTTTCTTCCGGCTCACTACTACATCAGTTGACAATGTAGATAGAAATACATGATGGTAACACCTGTCTCAACAACTTCGGGTTTTCAAAATTCGTAACCTTATCAACCGCTTAACCATTATGGCCTAACCTCAACATTGCTTACGTAGTCGTTGCACAATATGCCCTATGATAAGATCCAACTGATGAGCCGCGAATAAAACGAAACACTCATTCTAGGCTAGACTGCTAGCTACTCAGTCAGTAACAACGTAGAATTTCGTGCGTACATATATCAGTTCGAGTTGCCACACCACATTAGCACAGAGATGCAGTGGTCGATTCAAATCCCGTAGTGGTAGAGGTAATAAGAGTATAAGCAGTAATCGGGAAGATTAAGGTTTGGAGATGTTATTTAAAGAGTATAATCCAGTGAAATAAATTTGGAAAGAGCAAAAAAGGGACATGAAGAATTCAGAAGATTAGAATTTGGGAGAACACAAAGAGTGGATGCACCTGCGCCATTGCAAACGATTTTGAGCCATGTCATTCAGGGTCTCTAACCATCGGTTGCTATCATCTCGTGGTCCCCAACCAGGTAGACTACACCTACCAACATGACTCAGTCCACTTGTCAGTGACTTCATGGACTTGTGCCATGTTTTGGTCTGGCCACCCCTAGCTTTCTTCCAACCTACTCTTATACCACTGGACATCGCACGTCGAGGCAGTCGGGAATACGTAACACGTGGATGTACACTATGTAGGAGTCTTACAATAGGACGAAACGTTGAGGCAGTTGTTCGTTGGGCATACGTAACACGTGTCCCAGCCATCTCAACTGGTGAAGTTTCACTACGTCATCAATTGATTTGCCATCCTTACCCTACTATCCAAAATGTTATCTAAGAAGCCTGTTGGGCATTATATATAACAGTTGGAAATCTTAATTGTTTTCCCACCGGACTCGTAAATTAGTGCGAACGTGTTTCGTAAATACCCTATTTGTGTTTTTAATGGTTCTCCGAGTTCGATGATCTAATTACAGAGCGTTCATTTATTATTTATTTATTTATTTGAACACATAAATATTGGTACAAAGGGGCACCAAATACATATGCGCCAAATAAGTTGCTTGATGTGTGTGTGGACTATGATACTACCCGGGTACCCAAACCGAAGCAGGTGGTTTTCTTAGGAGTTCATACCCCACGCCTTTGGCCTAGAGGCCTAATCCGCAAGGTAGTGGAGCAACATAAGGAGATGCAGTCCCATGGCAACCGGTGACCAACGATTTGTTCATACACCATTTGTTCCCTCAGTATCCTGGAGTTCATGAGCACCATTGGTGTGCAATAAGGCTTTTCTAACTTCCCTAGGTGGAATCTCCGCATCCACCGACCCGGGTAAAGCTCCGAACAATCGCTTTTCGTCCTTTCAATTTTGTAAACAACACCCTCGCTGCAAGAAAGCAGTGAGTAGGACTTCCCTGACAGGGAAGGTCAGTTATTACAAAGTCGTTCCCGTCGTAATTATTGTTATCGTTACTGGACTTTAAAAAATACATCTAATTATAAACATTGAAATGATCTCGCGAATTCCCAATCAATTAACAATAATTGTATATATTATTTACTATTTCTTCATTTTAGCTGTTATTCATGGACATCATATTACAGTATTAGAATTGTAAATCTTCGTATTTCTCAAAAGTTTTCACTCTGGAGAAATAATCAGATATAGTTTGCAGTCTTTATTGAATTTTGAATCACCACTCTTATTGCTCTAGACTCGTTTATTAGCTTATTTACCCGGCACATTTTAGTGCATTTGGCTTCGAGCCACCCTTCAAGTGTAAGAGCCAGTGATGATATCCGGTTGCTTAAGCCAAAGTAGATGGGGCGGGGTTTAAGCCTGAGACTTGGTGGATATAGGTTGAAAGCCTTGGTCGTCAAGGCACCACTGTATTTTGTTTTGCGTAATGTTGTCGTAAATCTATTTCGCCTAATGAATACTCATTAAGTTAATGTGTCTGTATTATTTTCAGGTTGTTAGTAGGCGTAATGATTTACGTCTTTTAATCACTTCTGCTACAATGGACGCAGAAAGATTTGCTCAGTTTTTCGGTGATTGTCCTATTTTTCGAATACCTGGCCGAACATTTCCTGTTGATACACAATTCAGTAAAACAACAGTAATGGATTATGTAGATGCATCTGTGAAACAAGCAATTCAGGTTCATTTAGGCTCACCAACAGATGGTAAATCTTTTTTTGTTATAGACATTTGATATCATAATTAGTTTGTTTTTGACTAAATAACGAATTCAATACTGAGGTGAGACTTAGGGTATTAAGTGAAAATAGTAAATTGGATGATGAAAGAGTGAATCGTTATCAACTGGATTGGTTGGGACATGTTACATCTAGCTCGACAGGCGACGTTTACTGATGTAGAAGTAAATTGAAAGGAATCTGGGAGCGACCACTTCAAAACATAACACAGATCCATAAAGTCACTGACTGTTGGATGTCCATGCAGTCATCCGAACCATTAGTTGAAGACTTTGGGTGACATAGCTCGCACAACCAATTACGATATCATTCACCTTATGTCTGTTGTTAAATATTGAGTTTTAAAATTATTTCATCCTTTCTCTTCTCCTAGAATCATTTTGACCATAATTAGTTTTTTTCTACCATTATTAATATTGTTAATATTCTGATATTTGTCGTGGTGATTCCATTTCACTGTGTTAACTTGGTATAGCAACTTGAACCGATCCACATGTGTTAAGTTCTGTGTTGGTTATAACTGAAACACAGGTGTGTTGAATTTATCTATTTAATTTTAACTTATTTAACATGAATGATGGAAAAGTAAGTACTATCTGTTTAAATTTTCTTCACGCAGGCTACGTAAAATTAAAACGAAGACTTTTTTTGTAGGTTTGATCCAAATTAGACCTGATATTTCGGACTATTGACAGATGGAACAAATAATGGATATTACTACTTCTCTCTCATACTCGTCTATACTTAGATAATCAGTATATTGTTCTTTTATTTACAAAATTTCATTATCCAAGTCTTAAAGTCGATACCAGAGAGGAAAGATTTTGTGTATTGCTGATTCGTCGTAAACTTTTGGATTTTCTTAGTTTACTGCTTATTTGAATGTTAAGTTTTCGTAATTAAAACTTGTGTAATATTTCAACAATTAGTCACGAGTTATATTTATGTTAGAAAAGTCTGGAAGAAATAATTTCTGTAGCATTAAGTCGTTTATTGCTGTAAATGCATTTAATGTTTCAATCATTCGTTTCTTTTTCATTTATCTAGGTGATATACTCATTTTTATGCCTGGTCAAGAAGATATTGAGGTGACATGTGAACTAATTGCTGGTCAGTTGTTATTACATTTTTCTCATTTGCATCATCGACTGGGCTTAGAAAACTATTGAAAACCAGTCTTGGTATAGGACTCTTCAACAATGTGCATCTAGGAATCCACCAGCGATCCAATTCATGACTATTAAGTTTTTGGGAAAACCGGTTATTTTTTCTATCTTTAAGTTCACATGTAATCGCATACCATTTATAACTTCATCCGTAGTACTGAATGGTGGTTGTGTAATATCAAAAATTGACTTAATTTGTTAATGTTGAACATTGTATGTCAGCTCAGTGGTATAAGTGTTAGGTGTTTACTGCGAGACTTAAAGGCCATATATTCGATCGTCGATAGCGTCTTGGATACAAAGTGCTGAGAATTCCCATAATTAGATGAAATAAGTGTTCTGTACTTTCTCGTTTACAATCGTTATCTAACTAAGGTGTCAGTCTAGTATGTAAACTACAAACTTGAATAATCTCCATAAACCTATAACACTAGTATTTTCTTTCTTTGCATCTTCACGTGTGCACTGTAATGATTATCATAATAATAGCCTATTGTTATTATTCGACAGTATTAAATACCCTCTCGTTATTAAACTCGAATTCAAATGTTTTTTCATGTTACGTCTACACCGAAGTCTGCTCAAATTTGAGTGTGGCCATTTTTCCAAACATGTGGTTATTATCACAGATCTATTGACCAGTTGCGCTTACGCGACCGAATAGGATGTTTACAACATGTTGTGAATTTAATTAATTAGAAAAAATAACTAAGAAGTCCCACCACGATGGTTGGTATATTTCCTCTAATTGAAGAAACAAGAAATAACTACTATAGAATTCACGCGTAAAATATATTTGACGACGGTAAAATGTTTCACAGAAACAATAAATATGAATGGCAGCTAATCATTGTTTAAACACTTTCATGTATAATTTTTTTAAAGAATATTCACAAGTTAACTGCTTATAAAATGATAGTTTTGTTGTCATATTGAATATTTTATTGCTGAAAATTCCTTACTGTAATCAAACATATGGTAGTAACTAAAGCGAGTCTGGTTATTATGATAATACTTATTTTCCGGCTCTATAAAACCTATCACACCGGTTTGTTTAGACTTTTCGGTTAATACGATTCGACGTCAAACTTTTGCTAAACATATGATAGCAACATATTCGATATATGTGAGACATTGTTGCATAAACATGGTAACAGTCACTCGAAAAGGATAATTAGCAATTGTTTAGATCATATGGAGACAAGGAGTGCCGAAAATCGAGTAGGTCGTAAATAATATTGGTAAATAGTTGCTGTTGGATGTCATATTAAGATAAAATTCTTGTCTAATGATGAATAATGTTGTTCCTGTAGAGTTCTTACCAAGTAAACACTAATTATTTCCTACAAACGTGATTTAAATAATCTTTTTATCCCATCTGTATTTCACCCTGTTGTAATTTTCAGAACGTTTGAGTAACTTGGATGAAGCTCCTCCACTGTCCATCCTCCCCATTTATTCTCAGTTACCGAGCGATCTTCAAGCAAAAATATTTATGAAGGCTGAAAATGGTGTCCGAAAATGTGTCGTGGCAACAAATATTGCTGAAACCTCATTAACTGGTAGGTTGTTATTATTTTATGCTTTTTTTGACGTTTAGTTGAACGAATTGTGTATATCTGTCAGGATCCCCAACATTGAAGTAGACCAGTCTGTTAAGTTGAATAGCTTCATACTGTCCAATTACGAAAGATGAATCATACTGGAAAAATTACTTATTATTATAATATTTTCCTAGAATTTACATATCTTGAATAGTGATCCGAGGAGTTATTCGTACTTAATATGACCAGTTTATGACACGGTGCTGTGATATAAAGGAGGCTGTATAGTACTAGCATCTGTCGGCTTATTGCTACTTCCTAACTTGGAGTCTTAGAGACAGCGCAACTCAGTGGCTTGAGACATCGTTAGACATGTCTCAGAATAGAAATCATCAATAATCTTGCTGTAATTTTCTTTTACACTCTTTATAAAGGTAACAGGAAGTTCATTGAATGAAAGTTTTTCTTTGGCATATTTCTTTCTATTATTCCTAATGATTTGATCAATGTTTTAAAAGAAAAATTATATCGATCTGTTATGATCAACGTGCACATTAATCCAAGTCGCTACACCACATCCAACTTAGCAAGAGAAAACTAAACATTAACCCTTCGAAATAATACAAATATGAGTGGTCGTAAGAAAAAGAAACTAAACATATTGAATATAGTTTAAAAATCAGTAATATAATCCCGAAACAGAAAGCGTGGAATAATGCTAAACCTTATTAATGTAGAAGAATATAAAAAGTGAATGCGACTGCTCTTGTATCATATCACACAACATCTTCAGCCATTCATCACGATTATCTCGTGGATCTCACTGAGGTATTACCATACATTTATCGACACGGTTCAGATCAATAGTCAATAACTTCATAGACTTATGATACTCTTTAATTTACTAATTGCTAGCTTTCCTCTGCCTTACAATCTCATTTCTTTAGAAGCATGCTGAGTCGTAGTTAATCGAATTACACAGGGGTTTACAATCCCATTTTTTGGTATGAGTTAAAATGAAAGTACCAGCAAAAAAATCAACAGAATAATTAGCAGAAATAAAAAAATCTTTGTGTTACAAGAAATTTATTCATCAAATTACACTCCCTGTTATTTCGTCTAATCGTGTTACTAGATCCTGTTTTAATATCTCCTGAAAATGGCAGAACATATATATGTATATTCATAACCGACTCAGTGGTCTAGAGGTTAAGCGTTCGTGCGTGTGACCGAAAGTCCTGGGTTCGATTGCCGTGTGCAAGGTCCAATACTAACCCGAAAGGGCCGTTCAGTGGTTCCAGGTTTTTCGATGTTGGTCTAACGTTGATCGGTTAATAATTTCAATCAAATTCAACAATCCCTACAACCTTTAACTGATATTCATACATCACTTGTCTTTTGCTTCTTCCTTACATTTTGCACCTTTTTCCTAAAATCTCTCCTTCATCATTATTATTTCATATATTATTCAACGTAATGAAAAAAGTAATAATTTGAACTAATGTTTTTTGTATATGATTTAATTTTCAGTTGATGGGATACGTTATGTGATCGATTGTGGTTATTGTAAATTGAAAGTTTTCAACCCTAAAATTGGTATGGATGCATTACAAATATTTCCAATTAGTCAAGCTAATGCTAATCAACGTGCTGGTCGTGCTGGTAGAACTGGTCCAGGGTAGGTATTTTATAGACTTCAGTTTGGAAAAATACTACCATAAATCGAATTTAATCTGTTTTGTTTTCCTTACATGTGGTATGCTTTAACTGTTTTATTTGGTATTTACAATATTTTCAGTCGATGCTTTTGTATTCTCCCAACTGGGAAGTTATGTATGGAAAGTTTCATTGTTGCTCTGGGCAATATCACCAGCTCTTACTTTACGTAGAAGTGAGATGTTTAGTTAATAATTCATAAGCGTTAAATCACTCAGTTCTGATGAGCTTGTCTGTGAATGGTTGTTTTCGGAAGTGTCCGGTTACCTTTATTTACCTTTTTATTCCTGTCGAGTGTTTTGCTATGTTGACTCATGGTTACGTAATTGGTTGTTGACTATTTCTGTATAGTTTAGTGAATGTAATGGATCTCTATATTTTCATTGATCTAACTCCCATCCATCCAGAAATTCTCTCGAACTCTTTGAGTCTCATCGATGTTTTCTCAGTCGACTTTCTGCCTGTAGTTTTCCGCGTCCAATGATATGGGTGATAATATGTCACGTTGTTTTTCTGTCATTTTGTTTTCGTGTGTGCGTAGATAGATGGGTTGTCCACTGTAAAGTTCGTCTTAGTTGGTACAATCTAGTTAGTGGATGACATTACATTTGTAATCTCTTAATGTTGTCTTTTGGTCAGTATAAATCACCCAGCTCAGAGAACGCAACGTAACTGAAGCTATCCACCTAAGTTATAAATCTTCATTATAACAGATTGCATTTAATAAACACTCTCCATCCTTATTGGTGATACTTTTATACTGTAGTTTGCACGCTATCGAAGTTGAGTATTAATGAGTGTTGAAAAGTTACCGGACAATCACATTTGTATGTTAAGTATCAATCTTGTTTTTTCAGGAAGAATCTTTACTTTCAGCAAATCTACTATGCGATGTCTCTTTCAATATTGATTATAAATATTTCAATTAATGATTGTTCTTATCGGCAACTTTCTCGAAATATAACGTCAATAACACTTTCAGTCATCTTTCTGTTAATGTAGTAAATAACTAGTGCATATTTTTGTAAGTCATTTCACTTCAAGCCATAAACTTAACTATATTTGTGTTTCTCATTATCCGGCATTTCGGGTTACACTTCACTTGACATTTCTGCCCAACTAGTTCTTTATGTTTTAACTATGGTGAATATTAGCTCGTTTTATAGGTATAACTTTCTGATATAACAATCCATAATATACCAGTTTTTACTTATTCGTTGATTTTACATTTGCTCTCCGTTATATACAAACGAAGAGTAGATGAATGGTAACTTCTAGGAATTATTTATGGACTATTATTGCATATATTCTCATTGGGTAATTATTAAGTAACTAGATTATATGTATATTCATATTCCTTCCATCATAAGCTTTCATTTGACCTATTGGCTACTGTTATACGACTTGCCATTCTTAAGTAAATCGCGTATGTCTGAAATATACGATTCGTGTAATAGAGGCTGATATTTCTGTTCTGGACTGAAGGGGATGGGCTAGGCGAGAAGTTTCTATATAGAGGACCAATAAGGACTCGGAGTTGACTCAAGGCTGCTAGTGCTTTTCGATGGATCATTGGTTTAGCCCAGGGGACAAGATCACAGAAGTTGGTATTCTGACTGTCAAATTTGTCACATGATATTTGACAGGTCATAGAACATAACACTCATCTTCAAAACTGATAACAATCACAGTTCTAAGAAAGTGACTTATCCACTGAGTGTTTTGTTGTTAATATATTCCGTAAGTGAAATTTCAACAATCAATCTTACATGTTGAAGCTAGTTTTTTCTGAAACTACATTTAGTCACTGATTTATCATTAAATTTTTAATGATATTACAAATTTTTATGTTTATTCTTTCCAATTATACGTTTTGTTTTTAGAGTGTGTTACCGTTTATACACTATAAGTCAGTTTCAAGATGAAATGCTTATCACATCTGTTCCAGAAATTCAGAGAACTAATCTGGCCAATGTTGTTCTCTTATTAAAATCTTTGGGTGTTCAAGATTTAATGCGATTTCATTTCATGGATGCTCCTCCACAGGTATATCTGGTTTACCAAAAATTTATAAATCGAAAATTCCTTACAGTTTTGAAATTTTATTGAAAGTGTTGAAAAAAATATGTAAAACATATTTTTAGTGTTTGTATTGAACTACTAAGAGCTGTTTGGGAATTCACTTTTAAAAGAGTACACTCACTCATCCCATTTATCGTCTATTCTTTATGATTAACTTGAATATTCAGCTTGTTTATTCAATTCTCAAACTACTCTCATACTATAGGCTGGAATCTTTCTCCTTGTTACACAGTTTTAGTTAGCTAGAGGTGTTAACACTAATCATGGGATAAATTACGTATGACTCAAAGTATTCTAGTTATTTCAACTATAATGGTTTTATTCTACTAACATTCCTAAATTATTCATACGATACTATTTTATAAAAGATATACTTGCCGTAAAGTTGGTCATTATTTCAGATCATTTGTTTGTAATTTATAATCGTAGTACTCATAAGTTACCATATTTGACTCTTCTTTGATATTCTAAGTAGTTTTGCTTTAAAAATACTGCTTGCATGTTAAAACCATTAAAAAGAAATAATCGAACAAAAATATTCTGTTTCTATGTGTTTACATTGTTACAATTTATTGTTTTTTTTTGTATATCTTAATTGGAATTGGGGTGCATTGTTCTGAATATTTGTAGGATAACATATTGAATTCAATGTATCAACTATGGATTTTCGGTGCTCTTGATAATACTGGTAGTTTAACAAATTTAGGTCGTCAAATGGTTGAATTTCCATTGGATCCAGCTTTGTCTAAATTATTAATTATTTCCTGTGATATGAATTGTTCTGAAGAGATTCTAACCATTGTATCAATGCTTTCTGTGCCGAGTGTATTCTACAGACCAAAAGGTCGTGAAGAAGAATCAGATAATGCAAGAGAGAAATTCCAAGTCCCAGAATCTGATCATTTAACACTATTGAACGTTTTCACTCAATGGCGTAAATCAGGTTATTCATCAGCATTTTGTGCAAAACACTTTTTACACTTAAAAGCTATGCGTAAAATTCGTGAGGTTCGACAACAAATGAAAGAAATAATGGAACAACACAACATGAATTTACAATCGATCGGCAGTGATTGGGATGTTGTGCGTGAATGCTTATGTGCTACTTTCTTCCATCAAGCTGCTCGTATCAAGGTAAAGTCTGAATTACATCTTTTATATTTTCTTGTGGAATGATCACTTGATTTTAAAGAAGTGGGATATTGACTTTTATGTTTCCTTTTTTCACATATTTCTACCGGTGAAGAATTCTTTTAGTCGAATCCCATCTGAACCTATTTGAAAAATTTTAAACGGTTATATTGCTTTGTATAAATTAGTGAATTGGCAATGATTATGTGAATTCGGGGCTCCTGTAACACTTAAGTAATCAATCACAGTGTTTCAAACAATGTTTTTGGAGATTACCTGATAAACCATTAAAAGCCAAAGAGCATCGAATTTACATGTTACATCCTAATTTATAATACTTTTGCTGAGCATATTCTCATGGCTGAACAGAGAATCAATCAGTGAACTTGTTTTTCGTCGACTACTGTCTTGTCCAACTATCTTCTGAGACAACTAACTTCATATCTCATTTTAAATTTCTGCAGAGTCAGCAATGTTCCTCATATAGGAAGATTCTCACGAAAATGAGCTAAGGCTTTAGTTACTAAAAGATAGGAAATAGTGCAAGATTGATTTTTCTCAGTTTTTTTTCTTTTTTTGGTTAAGTAATGTATGTCATGACTGATGGAGTCCAAACATGTAGAGATTAAAACTGTTTTCACCAATGACATATCGTTGTGTGGCAAACAGATTGGAATTCTACTCAGTGGTTCTAATGATTAAGTGTCAGTCGTAAGACTTGAAGCTTCTAGTCTCAATCTCCAGTATGGTCGTGGGTACTTACTGGTGAATTGTCCCATAACAGGATGAATTAGCTGTTCGGTGCTCCTTGATGCCTAATACTACTCCACATAGTAAGATAAATCTTTGATCAACACAACTCTTTCTTCAGTACTTTTCATGACACAAAAATTTTTTTGTAAACAAAATCAATTTTTCAGGGTTTAGGTGAATATGTGAATTTACGGACTGGTATGCCTTGTCATCTACATCCAACTAGTGCTCTATATGGAATGGGTTACACTCCGGACTATGTTATTTATCATGAATTAATTATGACAACAAAAGAATATATGCAATGTGTTACATCTGTCGATGGTAATTGGCTAGCTAAAGTTGGTCCTATGTTTTACAGGTAAATTAAATTGACATTTCCTAATGTTTTTGTTTTTCGATCAGTATGTAGCTAAAATCGTATTTGTAGCATGAGACGTTTGTGGAGATTGTTGAGCTTCATAGTTTACAACATGGATTGACCTTAGTCAGATAGCTTTTAAAAACCAGAACTCACTGAACAATTGTTTCGTCTTGCTAAGGGTTCCTTCAGCAGGATATACTTACGACCCCACCTGGAATCGAAATAGCTTTCTAGTGCTTCCTGCTCTTCAAGCGTTATCTAACTAAGGCAAACCCCTATTGGATGCTATAAATTCATATTTCATTGTGTGCATTGTAAAGTGATTCGATGGTTATCAGTATAACAATAGAAGTAGGAGTGTCAAGGTGATATGAATACAGTTATTACGCCATGTAGAATATATTGTAATAAAACTATTCTTCGTTACAAAACTGATAACGTAATTGGCTTTTCTGACCTTTACTAATCCACACTATTAAATGCTTTCGAATGCGAATTAGTGGCCTCGATGGATGACCTGCATAGCTAGCTTCGCAGGCGCAGTTGAACTGATAGCGTAAAACGACACAGCTCCCCTTTTATATGCGCCTTTATGTGTAAGATAAGTTGCCAAGACTGACAAATTCAATGTGCATACACTAGTTATCTTGTTCTAACTCAGCTAGGTATGTTGGTCTTTCCTCGAGACCACTTCGCATTCGGGAGTACCTACCAGCGTGGCATAAGTACAAGTTAAATTAAGTCATTTAAATCATTGATTCTGTAAAGAGGAGTGGACACGACATCCGGATTCCGACGTATCCTTTAATATCATTTACAAAACTGGTTCTCTTTTGATCTCATTTTATGGTTTAGTCGTAAAAAAGTTTTAATTTAATGCACAATATTCTCTACATAACAAGGGTGAACTTCTTTGTCGTTCCCTACCCTTAGTTTCCCATTCTCTGTTAGAGCTTTACTTTGTGGTTACAATGAAAATAATACCTTGTATAATTAGTATGATTTCATATTATAGTTGATCTAATGTTTATGCACACCCTTATTTCCAATAGGGTTACAACACAATCCCAGTCCAACTACTATTCAGTTAGTCTTATTCACCTGGTACAATTTATTGCTAATGTTATGCTATGTGTAACACATTCACTCAATACTTTTTTCACTTATTTTTCAGTGTTAAAGATCCTAACCTTACTCGGTTGGAACGAAAGCGACAAGCTGAAGAACAACTCGTAGAAATGGAAAATGAAATGCGTCTGGCTGAAGAACAGCTTTCTCGTCGACGTGAAGAACTTTCAGCATCTATTGGTTCAAGTCGTTTGTAAGTAAACCATCTGTTCATTCTTGTTTAGGATAATCTTGTTTCAATATTTATTTTTTTCCAGTTATCCTAAATAGTCACTCTGCATTTAATCGACTAAAGAGTAGTGACCAATGTTATCTGGTTGGATTTTATCGGTCAACTTGTAATGCAGCTACTAGTTTGACTGACTCGACTTCCCGTGTACTATTTTTTAAAAAGCTAAATGGTTGAACGTAGGTCTTTTACTTATTGGGATTCGTCCTCATTAAGGAATACGTGCAATCTTGTGGGATTTAATGCTCCATGTGAACTTAGAAACCACGTCACTCAGCTTTACAGATTGAGACGTTTCCACCAAGGTAATCGCCCCTCAGCTGACCTCTTGTAGGACTGAGATATTTACAATTGATTGGTCACTAAATGATGACCAATATTACCTTTGTCTAGTCCTTTGGTGCTGATTATCTACCGTCAACCTACCTACCATTTCAATGTCATCACTGTGTATTATTAAACGCTGGGAAGTCGTAGCTGTATATACTCATTGATGAGTATTGGTGCAATAAAAAGCGTATGATAATTTTAGCACCTAAAATCTAAGGATAGATAAAGAGTGAATACATCTGCGTCACTGCGACTGATTGTAAGCTATTCCACACGATGTTTTCAGTCATTAGTTACGATAATCGAGCGAACTCTTACAAGGTAATCTTTATCCAACTACACGGCTCAGTTCAACAGTTAACAACTTCATGTAGTAATGCTACGATTTGGTTTGGCTGCTTTATAACTTTTTTTCCTAACTTGATTCTACACCAGCAACTACCTCTCGCTGAAGTATTTTTTGCTTATCCTCTCCTTCCCTTCCCATGCCTTCAAAAGTGTTATTTTACCTTGTATCAAAAACCTTTTGTTGTCTCTATTGTATATGAGTTTCATGTGGTTTTTCTAAAGGAAAAAACTTAAAATATTTTCCTCCACTTTCTTTTTATCTCTCTTTTCTACAGGCGACCAATAATTACACCTGGTATGCGCACTCCTGGTACTCCTTTGGTGTCTAAACGTCCTGGCAGTAGACTTGGTTTATAATCATATCTGTTGTACGATTATTAATTAATGTACATAGTTTATTTTTGTAAAATATTTTCAAATATAAATTAAAAATTCATCTTTCAAATATATTTATCTTACCACAATTTGTCTTCTTATTCTATTATTAATATTATTATTATTAATTACAATAATCTATATATAGTACTTGCATGTATAGTTAATCTGATTGTTTCGTAGTTACACCTAAATGGATTATTTCTGTAAGAGTAATCCCTCATCAAATAATTCTGTCATTTGATCTAATACAACTTCGATATTATACATACCTTGTGATGTTTGTTAAGTACAGGGTTATTGTAGAGATTGTAATAATTTCAGTAGTTGAGATCATAAGTCAATTGAAGCTAGACCACTATGGAAAGCCTGGAAGCACTGGACAAGCATATACTTTATGATGTTAATCATTTCATTTCATACTTCTTAACTAGGAAATCAAATTAACAAGATAGATATGGTTTGTTTAAAACTAGAAATATAGATCTATTAACAGCAAAAAAAAAAACAAACTAGTTCAACCCTTAATATCAAAATGATGTTATATTTGTAATATCCCAATGAGTAGAAAGATGAATTTTTGATATTTCATGACCTAGTGTAAGTAGTAAAACTACTCATTGGGATATCATAACTATATCATCATTTTACTGTGAACATTCTATTCACTGTAGAGTTCATTTGAAATTGTCAGGTTTAGTAATAATACCTAAAGGTGTGTCTAGAGTCTTAAAAATAGACAAACAACTGTTTCTCGACACTTTTAGATTTCTGTAAATCTGTGGAACGATTTTGTTTTTGCTGGTATTATATTCTCTAGGTCAGTTTGTTTAGTTGGGGAGCGTTCAGTATTTTATTGAACAAGATTAGCGCTTTCACGAAATAGGCCCTGATGATGAACACAAAACTATCAAAAGCAATCACCTGAGCTGTATATCTGCTCTATCATTTCTCTTCATTGATATTCAGCGTTGTTTTGTTGGTTGTATGCACGATTGTTCTATACAATGTTCTAATAAGCATATGAAATAAGTTTTTGAAAATAATTAAGAGTGAGGTAGATTCACCGTGTTATTATTATTTGGTTGATTGTCTCAAGTGACGTAAGAAACATACAATGTAATTATCAAACTAATTTCGATTTCTGTATATAGATTTTAGCTGAATAGGACTAATTATATATGATCTAGTAGATGTGACTCGTGTTAGTGAACGCAGATTAATTGATTGGAACCCTCTCGATCAGCGGTTAAAGATGTTGGCTATTATAACTCGGAATCGGTTATCACAGTGTTAAGCATTCATCCACTCTTTGTCTTCATCTAGAATTTGAGCTTCTTCATACCCATATATATATACCTTTTCAAATAATATTTAGTCTTTTGCATTACCAATGATACTATTATTAGTTTAACTCTTGTTTTTCTTCTCGTACTGATGTAATATAACAACTTGGGCTAACGCACATTTGTGCTAGTCTCTGTGTTGATTATAACTGATTGAATAAATGTAATGAGGCCACTGATTATATTGTAATTTAAAATTAATCTGATAAACACAATAGGTCATTTAGCTAAATTAGGTTTCAAAATGTTACAAGGATTTATAATTACATACGAAACTGCCGAAATTTTTTTAAAACTTATATTTCATCACCGACATTCAGTACATCTTCCCTACATTCCAATGACTTTGAGCTGTAAGGATATATTAAATGTTGCTACGTGTTTGCAATTTCCGTACTGACGGAGTTGATTTTGATCATGAAAATAACCATATGATTAGTAGGCATTCTAGATATTTGTATCATGTATCATTTCACTCTAATAATAAGCGTTGAACCTAGTCACGTTATGTACTAATAGCTAAAAATGACTATATATATAGAAAATACTGTCCGTTATTTTAAGAGTAGTTTATATTTAGCTGTTTATCATATTAATTTATTCTATCATTGGTTTTCAAATTCTCAGTTTCTTCGTGTTTTTTTTTCGTCTTCAGCTGAATAGTGAACATTACCAGCGTACTTATTTTGTGTGGTATTACTTCATCCTAGACTACACTTAACATATCTTCCGAATTCTTTCATCTTCATTCGTCATAGTGTTTAGTTGTGACCTTTTTTTAGATATACTAAGTTTTAATTTCGGTAAACGTATAATATACTAACAACTTGGAGGGATTTATCAGGCAATCAGGAAACGCTGCCTAGATACAAAACAATTGACAGCAAAGAGAAAAAAACTATAACAGTGGAATAATAGCTTTGATCTCAATAATCAACCTTCAGATCCCAAATTGTTCTTCGTAGTAAATGGAAAAGGTTAGGTTTCGCATATTACGAATCGGGCCAATGTTATAATTCAAGGCTATCACTTCATAGAGTTTTTGTCAACAATTGACACCGGCGATAATGCATAAAGGTCAGGATGACGTATCAAGAGTGAAGCTGGAGTTCTGAGATGGGTTTACAAACTAAGGTTAAGATTTTCACCATAAACTGACATTAGCTATGATCCAATGCTTTGTCGCCCTTTTGTTTACAAACTTGAGAAACTTAGGTCTGGGATTAAGAGTGAGTATGAAAAGGAAACATTACTTAGCGTCACCAAACGTTTTTGACTACACAATCGATGACGTAACTATTTTGACACAATCTTCCTTAGAGTAGATTCGTCATGTAATTTAGCATAAACACCACCTAAGATTTACGTTATCGTTGCGTAATGCGTATTTTTATTGATTTAAAACACTCCAAAAACCAAATATCGTCATTTTCCACTAGGTTAATATTAACATACACGTTATTTATCACCGCACTTTAAACTTTACGCAAAACAATTGAGATGTCATCTTAATTTAGGTTGGTGAACTCAAGGCCGTCGGTACACTATACTTATACCATTATTTCTTTACTTTCATACTAGTTGACTGCTCCGTAAATTTTGTGATCAACTGCTGAATAGTCAAAACATGTGTTTCGTCCTGTTTGGAATTCGTCAACTGGGTATGTTAACATCCTTAGCGGGTGTTGTCTCTACCGAAAATTTAGAAATAGTATCCATCTTGTTAAACAACAAAATGATGTTCATTAATTAACTGAGTTAAAACAAACACCCTTTTATTGACCGTTATCAGTCGTATATTTTAAGAACTCATGTTTTATTCAGTTGAAAATTCTGTTGTGGTGTATTAAGGGCATGAATATTAACATTGGTCAATTGATTTACCACATTATAGACCATTTTATTATAACTAACCTATTATTGAATGAATAAGATTGTCATTTATGTATCATATATTGAGATATTCCTAAAAATACTCATGAAGAGTTATACTGTATAAATACTTCAACATATTTTGAGAGATCTTTTCCCTTTGATTTCATATCCTATTTGTTACTTTTTTTCTTCACAAATACTGTTTCGATTTAGTCGAGTGAACACTTGCAGGATCCTGAACAAGTTGAAGAAGCTTTGGGTATTTTAAAAGATGACAAAGAATTTGAGGAATTCGAAAAAGAAAGTATGTTGTACTTTTTAATTATGATTATTAGCATTTTTTTCCCGAGTGTCATATAAGTAAATTTAACGAACTTAACATATTTATTATTTCTTTGTAACGGATACTGGTTTAAAAAGAAAAGTATTTTGAAGTATGCTATATATACAACTTAACAATTATAGTGTAATGGATGCTATTCACAAGGATGTTTGTAAGTAGTGTGTAGCGGAACGTGGCGTCCAAGTTGCAACAGTTGTCAGGCATAGCGAAGACTTTCAGTGTACTGAAAGCACAGCGTTGACATAACACACCGAAAGTTGCAAATGGACGATTGACGGCTATGTATGTGTACTATGTAAATACTTGTAACTTGTAATAAATATGCATACATCCTGCCCATTGTCATGTTTTACACTAGGAATAAGATATGTGCTGAATAAATTGTTAGTATTTATAAAAATGAAAAGCAATTTAAGGTGCGAAAACATTGAATAGACGAGGAAAGTTTTATATTAGGCGTTTTGAGTGTTTATTTAACCTCTAGTATAGTTCTGTTGATTCCTTATCGAGGCTTCAACTACATGACCGAGTAATGCGTCAGATTCGGCAAACTAAAACACAAAACTATCTGCGAAGACGGTATTATAATTACGAAATTATGTGAAGCAAAATACAAACATCAACTAGTCAGGTGTCCATAGTATTGACTAAGTCAAAGATTTCTTCCTACAATAAACCTATAGAGTTATTTACAATGAAATAGGATGTGATTATATTTGTGTCCATTGGATTAAAAGTGTTTATATGTCATGTTTCTATTTCGTTTAAATTAGCTTGGACAGCATCAGAGGAAGAGATTTCGGATCTGCAAGTATGGGATGATAAATGGGATTGTGAAGTTGAGATAGATGACCAGTTTACTCAATATTTAAGGTGAGTGTTGATGTGACTAATTTTTCTTTGTTTCATTATTTCAAAGGTTATTATTCGTCTAAAGATTCTTGGATTTCTGTTCATTACTTGTCGTTTATTAGTATGTTTGCTTTTCCAGTGATATGTTTTTAGATTGTTCATTGAATTGTGTTACATATGTGATGGCAACTTTACTGATTGTTCTCTTATAAGGTCAAATGTTATGTGAATGTTTTTCTTAGATGTGGCTTCGGATGGAGGAAACGTTATGTACAGTGACTAAATTAGGAGATACACCTGGGAATTTCTGAATATTTCATTCCGTATTACAGAAATTACTCCTTTGAAAATGACGATTAAATCTCGAGTTTGTCTGTTGAACGGATGGTAGTGAGGTAGAAGTGAAGTGTGATAATACGTCATGTCGTCGAAAATACTTGAATACCTGTTTGCTCATTCTATTTTCTCAAACCTTCTGAATATACTGGTTGACCTGGTGAAGTATAGTTAGCAATTGCATCATCTTTTACCATCCTTGCTATTACTGATACCTATTGAATCCTGTTGGCTGCCGTTCCGATGGAGATTTCGGTCCGAGCACGACCTTCATCAAGTTGTCAATTACGATACTAATGTATTAACTGGTGATTTTAACATAGATTGGACTCCCA